AACCTCATCTCCTAAATATTAGAATTAATATAACCTCAGATTCCTATTTTGGACAACAATCACTTTCAATCTCTCACTGCTCTCTGCTAGTGCATTACTGCATATGGCAGTCATGCTGAGCCAAGAACAGCACACACTGACTCTAACTGTCTCTGTCCTAAACAAAGCAAGGTGATCTGAAGTGTCAAACATTTCTCTAAACTACATGAGGAAATACCATTATGGTTTTAGAAAGGAAGCACATGGCCGCTGAAATCACTAGGCATGGTGATATCCACAGACACAAGACTTCATCAGGAGTTACTTCAGTTATTCAAGCATTAACTTACATGCTAGTGTGATGTCTGAAACAGTTTTCTTCACCTTATGTCTCATTTACATAGCCCAATCACAGCATCCACCAACTCCAGCTGTATCCAGGAAGATCAAACACTTGCGCAAATCTGATTATCAGGTTCCTCTTCCGCTCAGAAAACAACTAATGCATATCTGGTGTTTGCAAAAAATTCAGTTCAACCCATGAATACACTTCTTACAAGAACTATTTCAGAAGCAAAAAATAATTCCATTTCCTTAGTCTCTTCAACTGAGACCACTGTTTCCTGACCTGTATCCCAAAACCTGCTCTTTCTGTCATACAAATTATAATGCAGAGGTATTGGTAAAGGAGTGTCATTAGTAACATTTTTACCGTGTTCTGCCTTTATCTCAGTTCTCGCCTTCTCATCCCCCACACCCTTCCATTCTCTCACTACCCCAAATCGTTACAGATTTCAGGCTGTAACAATTTGTGTTCTTTGGTGCCCTCTACGGGACAGATTTCTGCAATCAAAAGTTGCCAGGACTTTACCTCTCAGAAGAGAAAGAACAGGGCAATCTAAATTAAGTACATTTGGAAGCGGAACTTCTGAATTGCTAATGACTTTAATTCATTCATAGTGTCCATGTTATGGGTCTCTGCAGCTACTGCTTCAGCAGCACTTGCTTTTCTGTAAGAGTTTTCAACTCTTCCTCAATAAAGCAGCAACAAGTTTCCTGAAAAAGGTTTCAGGGTTTTTTTCCCAAACCTACAAAAGCCAAGGTCAGTAAGTGTTTAGTCTCATCTTCTACTTAAGGTCACAACACACACGTGACAACTGGTTAATGAGATACATATTTGATAGGAAAGGCTTAATTTGAACTTACATTGCAAGGAATGCAATAAAAATCTCACTTTGGAAGGCCAGGAAAAGGACATCAGAGAGGATTTTTAGGTATTGAGACAGATTCTGACAGTAGAACTGTAGTTTAAAAGGCTTGATTTTTTTTTCCTCCCAAGACACAAATTACAGAGTATCCAGCTTCCAAATACACAAATATACCCTATCTTGACAGGATCTTCATCCAGAGAACTTGGAATACTTTTTAGACACAATATAAATACTCATCTCCAAGAGAATGAACAAAACCCATACTATCTTCTATGTACTAACTGCCCAAGGGGACAGTCTTTTTCCTAATTAAAGGTAAGCTATGTCAAGACACCTGTAGTCTAGCTTTTGAGTAGAATAAGAATCTCATCATCATGGCTAGGCTTCGCAAACGAAGAATTGGGAAGGGCTCTACCCACATTTGCTACAAGTGCGCTGGTGGCTAAAAAGGTCAATACGAGATAGACAAGTCCAGTTGCAAAAGGCACAGCAGAAGGACTCCTCAGGCGGCATATTCTGCAAGACACGATTCTTTCTGCGTTGTCTTTTCTCCTCAAGAGTGATCCTGTGTGCATACTCAAAAGCATCAGCAGCGTTATAGATGGTGTGTCTCCAGACCTCCCGATTGGAGGCCAGAGTAGACCAGTTATGTTGATCAACATGGCCAAGGTTGAGATGTTTCGGGGAGTCCTTGTATCTTCTCTTTGAGGCTCCTCTCTTGCGGCAGCCGGTGGCAAGTTCACCATAAAGCAAGATCTTAGGGAGGCGGTGGTCCTTCATCCTTGAGACATGTCCTGCCCAGCGCAGCTGTGTTTTCAGCAACATGGCCTCAATACTCGTAACTGCTGCCTGTTCTAGAACAGATGTATTGGTCACATAATCTGATCAGTGGATGTTAAGGATTGTACAGAGACAGCGTTGATGGAAGCGTTCTAGGAGTCGCAGGTGATGGTGGTAGATGACCTATGATTCAGATCCATATAAAAGAGTAAACAGCACAATGGCTCTGTAAACACTGATCTTTGTACTTTTCTTCAGGTGTTTATTTCGCCAAACTCTTTTATGCAGTTTTCCGAAGGCACTATATGCCTTTGCTAACCTGTTGTGTATCTCTCCGTCAGTCTTACCATCTGAGGAGATGAGGCTGCCTAGGTAATTAAACTGCTGGACTGATTTGAGCACTGATTCTCCAATGGTGATACGGGGATGATGGAAGACTTCCTGAGGTGCAGGTTGATAGAGAACTTCTGTCTTTAAGCTGATTTCCAGCCCAAAAAGCTCAGCAGCATCTGCAAAGCAGGATGTTAAACGCTGCAGAGCTACTTCTGTGTGGGCAACGAGGGCGGCGACGTCAGTATAAAGCAGTTCCCGGACAAGATGATTTAAGGTCTTAGTATGGGCCTTCCCATCCAGAACAAGTGGTGGATCAATCTAGCCGAAAAAACTCAATTATGCGCAGATACGGGTGATCACAGAGGATTCTATGAGGCCTTGAAAACAGCATACGGGCCTACATACCAGGTCCAAAGCCCTCTACTCAGCGCTGATGGTCAAACACTTCTGACAAATAAAACCTCCATTCTGAATCGATGGTCTGAACACTTTCAGACTGTTTTCAGTACCAGCCGTGTAGTTCAAGACTCAGCAATTCAGTACATCACACAACAATCAGTGAAGAATGAATTAGATATTGCCCCCACTTTAGGAGAAACCCTTAAGGCCATACAGCAGGTGAAAATTGGCAAGGCAGCTGCGGTTGATGGAATTCCACCTGAAGTCTGGAAGCATGGGGGTCAAGCACTCTATGCTAAATTTCACGAGTTTGTGGTGTGCTGTTGGGAACTAGGCCAACTACCATCAGACCTTTGTGATGTAGTCATCATCACTTTGTATAAGAAGAAAGGAGTTAAATCAGACTGTTCAAATTACCGTGGTATTACTCTGCTCTCCATTGCTGGCAGAATAAGAATCTACATGGATGATTAATGCTCAGTAACCTGCCATACCTTATTCCTCACACACTCCTCTAAATATAGGAGCATACAAAGAATCACAGAATCACAGAATTATTTGGGTTGGAAAAGACCGCCAAGATCATCAAGTCCAATCTGTGACCAATCACACCTTGTCAACTAGACCACGGGACTAAGTGCCACGTCTGATCGCTTCTTGAACACTCCAGGGATGGTAACTCCAACACCTCCATGGGCAGTCCATTTCAATGCTTAACAATCCTTTCCATGAAAAAAATTCTTCCTGTTGTCCAACCTGAACCTCCCTTGGTGAAGCTTGAGGCTATGTCCACTCATCCCGTCATTAACTGCCCGTGAAAAGAAGCCAACCCCCACCTCACTACAACCTCATTTCAGGTAGTTGTAGAGAATGGTAAGATTCACCCTCAGCCTCCTTTTCTCCAGACTAAACACCTCCATCTCCCTCAGTTGCTCCTCATCAGACTTGTGCTCCAGACCTTTCACCAGCTCTGTCGCCCTTCCCTGGACAAGCTCCAGCACTTCAATGTCTTTCCTGAAGTGAGAGGCCCAGTACTCAAGATGCAGCCTCACCACTGCTTGTACAGACTTAGGCCCAGATTCATCCTCATTGGCTTTATGTCAAGTGACTAACCATCATCTCATAAGCAGGAAACACAGCAGAGCATATTGGTGGAGTCCAGGCGTCTTAAAAAGTCCGTGGAGGAGTGAGCATCACAAGCTCAATGTGCCTGTGTTTGAGCATCCAACCTTCCTTCCTTCCATGGACCACCTGCTTAGACACACAAACTTCTGCCTGCAACTGCTGAGTGCGCAAAGGGGAATGACCAACATACACAAGGGACCCTGTCAACAGAAGAATCTCCACCTAAGAGAAAGAGCTTAGAAGGACTGGAAAACAAGAGACAAAACACATGAATGAAAGCAGGAGCAGCTGTCATGAAAGTGATAGGCATGGTTTTGTTTCCTTTTGTCAGTGATGGATGGTTGAGGGGAAGAAAAGGGACAGATGAGTTTTACTGAAAGGTTTGGGATTGCTGGAGAAGTGTATAGGTATTTGTAGTTGTAGTGACTAATTTGCAATTTTTAGTTGATTTAACCAACTTCAGGGATAAAACTTGAAGTAAACTACGTGACCAACTGCAAAGCGTTCACAGAAAAGCAACAACAGTTACCAGATTCTATCACGTCTCCCCTCTATTAGATATTAGATAGAGGGGAGACAGGATAATAATATTCGAAAATATAAACAGCATCCACGAATTGAAAAGAATAAATTACTTAGAGCTAGAACATGAAATAAAGGACTTGCAACATTGATAAGAAATTTTAAGCTTCTACAAAGAAGCAGCTGTCTGACAGATAAGAAAGCATTGGAACTGACTACTGAGGAGGCAGCGGAAATTTCAATGTCAGGCATTTTTAGGAATAAAAAATCAGGATTGGTTTACATACAGTGGATTCTGAGAAGGGAAGTGACTAAACAGGAACAAAAGAAATATTCCGGTGACATGAAAAGGGTAAAATATGCCCAGGAAGTTGGGGGGAAAAAAAGGCTGTCAGCAGAAGGCCTAAGGGAAAAAAAAATTCAGGGACAACTGGCTCCTCATTCAGTTTCATCCTTATTTTTTCTCATGTCCACAATTAAGTTTTAAATTCAACAAACAATTCAGAAGGCAATAAACACTTTCACAAGGTCTGAATTCCGTTCACTTCGGACATTGCTCCTATTTACCAAAAGCTTTATCGGGACAGGAAATAAAAGCGAGGAAAAATTAATCTAAACCCATAACTGCTTCCATATGGCAACATTACTCACTTGTTTCACATTTTCTGCCAAGAACACAACATAAACACCACAAAATCCCAGTTGTGTTATCACTAAGAAAAAGTCCACAATACACCTGAGGAAGAAAAAACAAACATACATTATACTTAAGATCCAAATAATTAACCCATTGCTACCTAACATGCAATTACTGCTCCTTTTTACAGTAATCAAAATGCAACACTCAAATGCCACATTAATTTCACAAGTACTGCAATACATGCTCCTCTTATGGCAAAACAGGGTGGGTTTTGTGTGTGTGGTTTTTAAAGTAACACTAAGAAGGCATCAGTTTCTCAAAAAAAAAAGAAGATACTCAACATATTTTAAAGTGGCATAAAATGAAATTCAAGGACTTAATGTGGTACAAATGTTAACAATAGACATACATATTTGATGCACCCTTTAGCCCCCAACACAGCAGTTTTCCACCAGGTCCAGAGATGAAATGTCTCATATGCAGTCTAAGACATGAAAGTTGCCTCAATTCAAGATAACATTTTCACATCTTACCAGGCAGGTCTATGTCAATGTATCCAAATACACATTCAGACACTGTATATTACTGAAAAAACACTAAACTATGGTTCAGATTGTTTTTGAAAAAAAGTAATACACAATGGTGGCCTGAAGACATGCTGTAATGAAGCTCTGCTAGAGTTAAGCATACAGCAGAGATCTGCCCCAGAGAATGGATTTGCTGCAGTACAGTGTCTCTGGAGATCCAATTGCCATTTGTGGCTTGTAACTCTTAGGTGCAATAGAGAATTGTCATTATATATCAGTACAATTCAATTTTCCCTCTAATTGAGTTCTTCTCCATTCCTATGAAGTCATCACAAAAGATCTTAAAAGAACTAGCTCACCTTTTGCTTACTTGAAACAAAGTAATAGCCAAAACCCCTGATGCAAGATGCTGCATCCTTGAAAGTAACAGGAACAAAAAAAATTCTTCCACAAGTGAGGTAAAAGCCACTTTAAATTAACGTTGAGCAATATGTTTATTCCACTATTCACAATTTCACTACTCCACAAACAGCTGTACAGCAAAAAATGGCAAAGAAAAATATAATGGTCTTTTTTAAAAAAGGGATAAAGTATTTAACAGAGACAACAAGCTATTAACATCTTCATGCCATTATTGCAAAAATAGTACCTATTTTATCCATTATTTGTATGTTATATTTAAACAGGAAGCCAAGCAGTTCTTTTCTTCCTTTCTGAATAAATGCATTAAAGTAATTAACATCTACAGTGTCAACCTGCTTAAAGAGTGAACTCTGATGCAGGGAATGCCGGTAAAAGAGAATGAAAACCTAAACTACTTCACTACATTAGACAATACAGAATGCATTTCTGGTTATAACACATCTCTTCCTATATTACTAAACAGAATTCTTTTTCTTGACAGCTCTTGCAGACCTGAAAATTGAAATGCCTAAGAGAGACAGACATCCTCCCATGTCACCACTACTAGATGGTAGCAGGAAATAACAAATGACACTGCAAAAAATCATTCTTAAGGAAGGCAACATCTTAGTAAAAAGAAATTCTCCTATCATTCCAAGTCAAACCATTAATTTTTAATAATGAATTTATTCAATTAAATTCTAATTCAAACTTACCTGCCCCAAGAAGCTCGTTTCTGAAGAGCAGCAAGAGGCCCCAATTCCATGGCATAACTAACTGTATCACTATACCCCAGTGAGGACTTTTTCATCCTGAAATCAAAAAATTAAGAATGGAGTTACTAAAATCTATGCCCTACCTTGAAAATGCTGTTGGTTTCCCACAATTATAACAAGTTATCACCAGTGGCAACATGCCACTGCTGCTGAATTTCAGAGGTATGGCTCAGGCTTCCTTACTCCAGGAAAGGTTATTATTTAGCACTCAACAAGCACGTTAAACACAATGTTGCTTCCCCCACTTCAACAGTACTAAATAAGTTCCTTACAGAACAAAGTTCTTTTATAAATTAATCCAAAATCAGATACTTATAAGATGAGCTTAAGAAACTGATCTCAAATCTAAAAGTCACAAAGAATTTGAACAGGTTTCAAAAACTCTTCCTGCACAAGCAGTGACAACTGATTCAATGATCTTATTTCAGTGATCATCTTCAAAGATCATTCAAAACTACAGTGGAAGAAGTGAAGAATTCACGAATGACAGGGTCCATTCACAGTACAATGTCATATGAATCTGGTAAGAGATTTTCCAGCTACGGGGGCATGAATAGTTTTGCAATTCTATTCAGTTTAAAACCTTTACTGCACTTTTTAAACATGAGACTCTCTCACTGCTTTTCTTTTAACACCTGACAGTAAGATAAAAATGTTTAATAAAAGTCACTATTAATCAAAATACTCTGTCAGTCTGAATAGCTCTATCACTCTGAATAACTGCTTCCCCCCAGTATTGTACAACTCACTTGGAGGAGTATTTAGTGTTTATCTGCTCACTAGCTCATTTTAACTCAGTCTTTCAGCACTACAAGTTCAAAGAATCAAGTTGTCACAATTCAAAGAGACAGAACTCACATATAATCATGGAAGGCATTGACAACACATCTTAGTTTATCTTTTATTCCTATAGAGTACTTATAAAGTGGCTATTTATAAATTATACACTTTCCAAAGCTATGAAGATTCAGAAGCTATGAAGAAAGCTATGAATATAAAGAAGGACCAATGGACTGAAAATAAGCAATTAAAACTGCAATGAGAAAGATCCTATTATTTGCTAGCAAGGAGCAGGGTACTGGGCAACTCGCTAAACCAATTTCATTTTGAATATGAACAGAGAACAATTTTTTTTTTTCAGTGAGTTGCACAAAGCATACCGATCATTTATAGGTACACACTACAAATTTGAGTGTTGTTTCCAACAATTAGAAGATTCTAAACTGAGAGAAGGAACTGCTATAGCATCAGGACATTCTGTAGGTCAAAAATCACAAACAGAACAGGTGAATTAAGGAAAAAAATACTGAAACTCAGCAACTGAACGAGTAGTTCCACATTTACCTCTGACATAGACAGTGGCTGCAACGTACCAAGATGTGCATACAGTGAACCGATATAACTCCTATGAACACAAGGCTGATTGGTCCAACCTAGTATGGAGAAAAAAAGGAGGGAGGACATAGGAAATATACAGAATTTCTCATAAAAATATTCTGGGGAAAAATCTCTAAATGAAAAAAATTCACATTGTAGCAAAAAAAAAAATTTTGTGCAACTGCATTTTTTCCCTCTCTCAGAGGGGGGGTTACTGCTGATGTTTCATGGCATTCCTTACTTTACGTTCACTACTTGAGAGATGGCTATAAGTACCAAATGGGCACAAAGAACTGCACTCCTCTAAGCGCTTCATTTGCCAAAAAAAATTTGTGAAGAGAGTAGACTGCATATAGTGTCCAATTCAAAACAGTGGTTTGAACCGGTTTAAAGTGGTAATGACAGCAAAAGTTACAAACTATAGATAATTATCAAATTAAATCATTTGTTTCAGAGTAGAAGTTTAACCAGAAATTTTCACAGAAGGAATCTGCTTTTCACATGTAACTGTCACTCTTAAACTGAACATCCTGTACTATAGAATTACAGGATTATTTAGTTGTACGGTGAAAATTTCACTTGGGTAAATTTACCCTGCCCTAGGAAATGCATTGTTAATTACCCGGTATAAACAACCTGTGCTATAGCCTGTTGCTGCAGAAACACGAGATTGATTTAACAAGCTGATGATGCATCCTAGGACATACAATCTGCCTCTAGAGAAGTGTGTACAAAGACAACCACATAGTAACAATTCCTATGAGACACCATAGGACCATAGGAGTCTGAGTAAATCAAAATATCTTTTTTTTTTTTTTACAAAGTTTGTGTTTTGACCAGAAAAACACTTCGGCTATGCAAAAACACAACTCTTGCAATGAAGTCCTCAGAGTGAAGTAGTACCTTTTTCAAAAAAAATAAAAATCTTAATCTTCAGTACTAATTTCACCAGACTAAAGAGGAAAATCAACACAACTCTATTAAGATTGCAGTAACAAATAAGAAGTATAGGGATTTTACTTTTTCAGGATATATATCTGTAAATCAGTCTAGATATTTCTCCTAGTGTATGAAAAAAGAATTGAATTCTTACCACAATACCAGCATTTTTTATTGCAAGTGGAAGACCAAGAAGCCCAGTTCCAATGTTTCCCTTGAGGAGGTGGGTAAGTGTTTGTATAAACCTGAGGATAAAACATCACATTAGAAGTAGACTGAGATAGGGCAGGGGACAAAAGTAAAACCACATCCTCTGTCATTTAATAATAAAGTGATAAATTTTGAGCTTCAACTCACTGTGGTGGTCTAGTTATTTTAAAGTATGTGCAGCACATTCAAATAATATTCCTATTCATCTTTATATGTGAGCACTCTCAAATAGAACATACAAGTCTGATATTCAGTTCTTTACTCCAGTTTGTGAAATGTTATTTTCTGTGCAATTCTATTATTCTTTTGCCTCAGAGTCAAAATTACCAAGTTTTATCACTGTTTATCGCTATTTTAGAATCAATAACATTCAAAACAATTACCAGCTGCAAATCACAAGTTTGACAGCCAAAGTTTTATACAAATTAAAAAAGAAAACCAAAACCCAAACCTTTGCCATCTCTTCTAATTAAACTTTCACAAACAGATTATCTCCAGAGTTTTCTCAAAATCTTTTTTAAACAGTGCTTGGATTTTGAGTAATCCAGTCACTTTACAAATAGGCACCTCGGAATATTTTATGGCCACATCCTTAGCTTCCAAAGAACAAAAAAAACTATTCAAAATGGGCTGCTTTTTGGCAGAACTATGTAAAGTCCTGATGTACAACCACAAAACCACAAAACTGTTCTGCAGGTGCAAGAAAACCCATACACAGTTCAGTAAACTGCTCATAAGAAATTAGACAGAGACAACAAATTTAAACAAGCTGATACTTAAGAGTAACACATACGTAATGCCTTCTTCATTGCCAAGCTGGTAATGTGTTTTAACTGGCAGGAAATTATTTTCATGCTCTTCTTCTGAGATGCCATCTGAGTCTTCTTCATCAATTAAAGGCTTCATTACTTCCATGCCTGTACAACAGAATTAACACTACATTAGCATTAGAAACAAACTTAGAGTTCAGACATAAAACGTGACTCAAACTTCCCATGCCATGAGGTTTACGTGTGTTCCTAACCATAATGCTGATTTAAGCAGATACATAGAGGACAAGTTTGCACAGGATAATCTCTCTCTTTAAAGTGGTACACCATCTCATTATTATCATTATTATTATGGCCAAACACCACAGGTTTTCATTAAGAAAACCAACTTTTTATCATGAAAATGTCAATAGTTTAGATCCTTTTGCAAGCTAATACAACAAAAAGCAAAACAGAAACGTCACCTATTGTTACAAAAGATATTTATCTTACCCGCTGTTAGCTACTGCAAAACTAAGCATTTAGTCTATGCTTATCAGTGGTAAACAACAGCACACCCCAGAGTCATCCCATCCTAAAACGGATAGGTAAGGCAGGTACCGCAGAAGATATCTCTATTCAATAGAGAAAGAACCAAAACAAAGGAATCAGGCTCCATGCTTTGAAAGATGCAATTTCATGAACCTTTTAAACTCACATAAATTTCCAGTAACACCACCTAGCAACAGCAAGCTGTCAGCAGCGAACAAAATCGCCTTTCAGGCAAAACTAACAGCTTATGTCAGTTTAATGTTGAGTAAATTATAACCATTTTTAAATTACTACAGTTAAGTAAAGCAAATCCTGCCAAGAGCAAAAAGATCATTTACCCTACACTTGCCTACCACAGTATCCATTCATAAACTACGTTAAATAAGTCTCAACTTTCATAACTTCCACCAAAAAAAGAGAGAAATCCCTGTGACTTAAACATTAGTGAATATTTCTACTAAAAGCATTATCAGGCATTGGAACAGGCTGTCCAAGAAAGTGGTGGAGTCACCATCCCTGAAGGTATTTAAAAGACATGTGAATGTGACACTTAGGGATATGGTTTAGTAGTAACATAGTGATGCTAGGGTAACAGATGGACTCAGTGATCTCAGAGGTCTTTTCCAAGCTTAATGAATTCTAAGTATGCAAGAGCACAACGAATTACCACGTAGCTTACAGAACTCTGAAAACACTGAAGAATACCATGAAATTCATTAGCTACATTAAAACATACATTAAAACATTAGCTACATTAAAACACTATTCAGCAAGCAAAAATATTTCATAAATTGAATGAACACTAAATACCTTAACTATATTAAGCTTACTTATGATGTAAGAAAAACATGGATTCTAACGAAATACCTGTGAAATCTGCAACACCTGTGAGCCTGCAGATACATTTAAAAGAATGTACAGGCAACTGACATCTTTAAAGTACCTAAATGCATATGAACTTGCCAAATACAAGTTTTATTTTGGGGAGTCATTATGGTCAATCTGATAAAAATTAAGACTTAATTAATTAAAACAAGATATGTGCACAAAACCAAACAGGAAATATAAAATGCACTGAAAAGTAGCCACTGAATTGGGTTTGTGTAGCAAGGTTTTGGTAGCAAGGGGCTGCAGTGGTGGCTTCTATGAGAAGCTGCTGGATGTCAATAGAGCCAATGCCAGCCGGCTCCAAGATGGACCCGCCACGGCCAAGGCCGAGCCTAACAGTGACAGTGGACCTCTGGAATAACAGTTAAGAAGGGGAAAACACTACTGAGCAACAACAGCTGGAGAGAGGAGTGAGAATATGTGAGAGAAGCAGCCCTGCAGACCCCAAGGTCAGTGAAGAAGGAGGGGGAGGAGGTGTTCCAGACACTGGAGCAGAGATTCCCCTGCAGCCTGTGGTGCAGACCATGGTGAGGCAGCTGTGCCCCTGCAGCCCAGGGAGGTCAATGGGGATGCAGAGATCGACCTGCAGCCCCTGCAGGACCCAACAGTGGAGGAGGCTGTGACCTCAGGGGAAGCCTGTGCTGGAGTAGGCTCCTGGCCTTTTGGAAAGAGGAGCCCACGGTGGAGTAGGTTTGCCGGTAGAACTTGTGGATCCCATGGGGGATCCACACTGGAGAGGTTTGCAGAAGACTGTCTCCCATGGGAAGGGACCCCCATTGGAGCAGAGGAAGAGTGTGAGGAGTCCTCCCCCTGAGGAGAAAGGAGTAGGAGAGATAACGTGATGAATGGATCACAGTCCCCACTCCCTATCTCCCTGCACTGCTGGATGGAAGGAAGTAGAGAAATTGTGAGTAAAGTTGAACCTGGGAAGAAGGGAAAGGTGGGGAAAACGGGTTTTTTTAGATTTATTCTTATTTTTCATTACCCTATCTGATTTGACTGATAAGAAATTAAATTAATTTCCCCGAGTCAAGTCTGTTTTGCCCATGACAGTAATTGGTGAGTGATCTCTCCTGTCCTTATCTCAACCCATGAGCCTTTTGTTATATTTTCTCTCCCCAGTCCTGCTGAGGAGTGGAGTGATAGAGTGGCTTCTCTGGGCACCCAGCATCCAGCCAGGGCCAACCCACCACAGCCATTCAACAAATCATTAAGGTTTCTATGAAACTTTAAAGATGTCTAACCCACCAGCAGGGCACTGAAGCCAATGCTAAGTAAGAAGAACTTCTAAAGAAAAACTGTAGAACAAGTGTAAAAATCCTACAAAGCAGAAGGCAGCTTATCCAAGTCGTTAAAATTAAAAGCAGAGCTCAAACTCTCCTGAAAAAACCAAAGGGTCATCCGAATTTCATGTCAGTAAAGTTGAAAGCCAGTAATGAAAGCACTTGACAGAAGCAAAGATGACTAGTCAAGAGCAAAAATCAGAGGTCAGAGACTCAGCCAGCAAGTACACTGTAGAGCAAATTTATACTCAGTGATATTCTAATTATAGAAGTCAAGACAGACTTAAACATGTTTCACTACATGGCATATAGTCTATAAATTGATCAAAAGAAGGACAGCAAAGTTCCTTCCCTCTGCTCCCACAACATTGTGCTGACTAGTTCTTGAGGATGCCATGACCATCCTTTCTCAGCTCTGAGTCCCTACTGGGTTCATTTGATGCTCACAAAGATCTGCACACTCTAGTTCTGGAGTAAAAGTTTGTCCCCTCAGGGGTCAGAGGGACCTGGAAGTTTCACCCAGTGGGCAATTGATTAGGCTCATTTTCATTCTTTAAAATATTGATTCTAAACTTAGGATCTGAAGTGTTTTCATTAGGAACAAGCCAAACTACAAGCGTGCAAAGTCTGTGATCACATGAGATTCAACTACATATAAAAGAAATAATAATAAAAATATTTTCCAGTTTTGTCTCCATCACATTTTGTAGGATCCTCTTTGTAATCTAAACAACAATGACAACATGCAGCAACTAAGATTCCTATTTAGCAGTGTGAGGGAACCAGCACGACCCTTAGGACCAATAGCTCTGGTGACTATCAGCAACTGCTCAGTCAAAGGAGAAAAGTAAAATTTTCTTCTTCCATTACAGCCTGAGACTGGAACATTTGATATATACATACATCTACATTGTTTACCATGCAACCAGATGACACTCAGAAGACTCTGAAGTTTTTAGACACCCCATTTTACTTTTCTCCCAACTTCCTGACCCATCTTCTGATCACAAAGGTAGTCCTTTAAGAATGGATTTAGACATACTCAAGCATTCCCCTCATCTTTTAAATAGAAAGAATTTTTCTAAGACAAGCTATTTTTCTTCTGAAAAGTCATCTGCCCATGCTTAAAGCTGTCAAGTCATCTGAGGGTTATTGTCATCACTATCCCAGCTCCGATAATCACCTAACTTACTGTTAACTATTCACCCATGTTCTCAGAAATTGCTTAAACTAGACCTCAGAATATCTGTTTCCAGTTTGTACACTAAGGTTGGCAATTTGCTGATCCTGTTCTAATGTAATAACACATTTGAGAATAAATTCTATGACAAGTTTTCAAACACAGGCAACAGCAATCTGCATCAACTCGCATTGTGATAACTATACTTACTACAGGTTCTCCTGAAATACTGCATTACATAAAATATTCCAACAAAGCTATCTAGTCTCTATTCTAGCCATAGAAATGCTTTTGAATTGCCCCCTTCTCCTTGTTATTCCTTCTTCATCCCATGACTGGTGTATAGTGATGCCTTAAGCCCATAATGATTTTCTTATTTTTCTACCTTATAAGTTTTATAGGTAATAGAAGTAGATTTTAGAAACCCTTTCTCCCTCCTCCCCATAGTACCCTTTAGTTTATACATTCCTTAATCATCTCACCCCATTCCATACCCCCCTATCACCCTACCCCCATATCCAGTAGAAAATGTTTTGTCTCTTGTCAAGGCAAGCCTGTCTTGTTTGGAGAACGCCTGTACCTTGGCCTAAACCGCAGGACAGAGTCAAGGAACTGGGTGACACTGCTCTCTGTACCCCGAAGATGAGGAAGAATGATGAAGAGGGGGTCCCAAAAAGCCCCCCGACCCAATTCCAGGAGGCGGGCCAGGGGGTGGACTAGACCAAAAGTTAGAGGATGGACACACTTGGGATTGGCCAGATATTGTTATAAATGTAACATCTCGGGCACAGCCCGGCACGCGCGCCGTGTAACATCTATTTGCCTTGGCATAATTAAACCCTTTCTTATCTCACCCCAGCTAAACGGCTCCTAGATTTTTTTCGTAGCACCAGCAGAGCAGGCATCAATAGTTTTGGCCTAAAATATGTGAATCCATTAAGAGTAAAGGTCCTGGGACATAAAATGAGGTTTGGGTCATGAGACTTTCTAAGCATGGGTTTTTATTTGATGAGATCTCTGCTGCTGGAAGGAATACTGTGGCTGTGTCCCACTGCACAGTCCATACTCACAGTGACATACAGGTTTGTGTAACATCCAGATTTAATGGACCCAGAGCACACTAAGCAAGAGTTTGAGCTCACAAGGTCAAAGAATGGGTGCTTTGCATACTTGGACCTAGCCTGAAATGAATTATTCTGGAAAGTCCACAGTCACTGCCAGAAAATTGGTACAGAATACCCACATTTACTTTGATTCCTTCCTACAAAGGTCCAATATGTGCAGTTTAAATCAGATCTCAAACTCCAGCTACAAGAACAGCATATACATGTCATACTTGCATCAAAGATGAAGTTGTATAGCTGCTCTCACAAAGCACCTGGTGCAGAGCATACCTCAGCCAATCTTAGGTCCATGCTCCTCCAAGCTGTTCTGGCAGCATCCAAACACACTACGAATGATCCAATCCAGTGCTCGGACACTGAAAATTCTGCATTATCATTACTCAGCACAACTAAGAATGAGGAAATTCACTTCTACACACCCTTTTGTTTTTACTTAGCCTAAGTACCAGCCAATTTTCAGCTAATTTCAATCAGCTAATACGAATTTCTTTTCTCCTTGTACCACCACAAAAATCTTTTCAGATCAAATGCTGCCTTCTGATTGTCTTTAACAATTATTTAAATATCTGTCATTGTTTCTGCTTTCTTCTTTGAACACCCATGCAAGCAGGGTGCCAAAAAGCTCTGCAAGTACTGCTACTATCAAGCAAGGCAACACAGAGTGCATTTCAACTTCTCCCAGAGTTAACCACTGCAATGTTTAAATTGATTCCTTAAACCACTGGAGAGATAAATTCACTTATTCATTACAGCTACACCTCACACTATAATCATGCATAAATGTCAACACTGTATCCTCAAAGACCTCTGACAAATTTCAATCACTAATCAGCCACCAGTTACACAGTGAAATTAAACCTATAGTGTTTAAATCATTATGACCAGTATTTCCAGATTTGAATCTTCAAGTGTACTTTTCTATCCCCTAGAATTTGCCAGCATCTTGACAACATTTATGGACATATTACCAAGAAAAATTTTGAACTGTTATTAAATGGACTTAATTCTAAAGCTTTTACAGCATAATGAAGCAATCCTTTGGTTCCAAAATTCTGTAAAGAAACAAATTTTTCACCAAGAACTTTAGTTAATTTTTCTATACAGCTCAAGCAATTAACACTTTCAAATTTAACTGAACCATGCAGCACCACAAGTGATAAAACTGATCATCATTTTCATTTTACAGAAGAAACAGTGCCAAAAGGATGAAAGTTTGCCAGGGCTGCACAAGAAGTTAAAGATTGAGGAGATATTAAAAACAAAGCCAAGTACAATCTTCTATTGTTCCTTTGGAGAAGGTCATGCCCCAGCCAAATCATATCTAAAACCCCCTTTACAAATCCAATTTAACAATATGATCTGGTTTTTGTTAGCTTAGTTATTTTTCCTTCAGGTTTTTGAAGTCAGTGTCAGCAAACAATAAACTTGATTTGATATATAAGCATAAAAAGATTTGGGGGAGAGAATATAGCCCACCATTGTTTACATCAGCTGATTTTACTCATTTACGGAAGAAGGAACACACAGACCTTGTTGGAGCAACACTTCACATGTGTATTAAGTGCTCGGCAAAAAGCAGTAGGCAAAGGACGTCTCATAGATAACTTCACTGCACGGTCAGCTTCTACACAAGAACATGCCCACAGGGCCAGAAACACTGTACAAGATTCACAGTCCTGTGAAATCTGTTTATTAAATAGAGGGTGACCCAGGGCCTCCATAACTGGGATAAAGATTCCAGTTAACAAGCAGCTGGTTTGACTGTTGAATAAAAGAAAATCAGAACCACGTCATCTTTATGCTAGCCTAAAATGTGGTTTTATGCTAATATTTTCCCACAGGCTATAGAAAGCCATATTCATGATCCAGAGGGCATACCCAGAGCTTGTGTCACCAACCAAGGCCAGCTGCCCTTATGGGACAAGGTTAGTGCTTGAGTCTGTGAACAGCAAACACAGCCAAGGAGACTTCACTACAGTGTAACACAGAAAACACATTTAGGTCCGGCAGCAACCACGTCTGTGACAACTGGAGAGGCTTGGTGTTCCCAGCAACTACTGCAGTTCACAAATGATCCATTTATTGTCTCAACACTGTGGAGAAGCTTTTTAATTCAGCATTCAGAACCAGGACTCTTAAGACAAATTTAGTTACAAAGAAAACATTGCCCCTAATTATTTTCAGAATAACACTCCGTTACTCCCTCAACCACAGAAACAAGTACCTGTTTCTCCACTACCCAAGCTTTAGCCTACAAACAAACTTCCCAGCATTTCTCCAGAAGACATCTAACTGTATAGTCCACCATTATCCATGAAGCACACATCATCTCCCACATTACTCAGTCACATGCTTCCACAACCTCCAAAGAAATTATGGAGCAACACAAAGTGACTATGGATGGTAGTGCCAGGGGTACACTGGTCCAGAGCAATAAACATTTGTAAATTTTCCTACTTAAAGGAGGAAACAACAGATAACCCCAATACACCACACACAAGCCAGCTCCCTTTTTATCTTTCACTACAGCAACTCTTATTGAATATGAGAGACATAAAGACAAACAAAACCCTCAAACTAAAACACATTTTCCAGTTTGAAAATTAAAAAGGAAAACTCATCTGGTTTAAAAGTTCCTGTTAAATACTAATAATTATATTTTCCAGAATAGTAAAAGACAGCATTAGTTTTTGTTGTGTTTGCTTGTCAAGAACTTTATGCTTCATGCTGTTATTTAAATCCCTCTTTATTTTTCTTTGGAAAATTTATCTTGTGTCATTTATCTGTCTCCATTACATACTGTAATTTAATAAAGTAGATTTATTCAGCTTCGTGGTAGAATTTATTAATCATGAGAATCGTTATTTCTAAGTAAATGTTGAAAGTCAATAATGCCCCTCAAAAAGCATGAAGAACTGTTTGCTTTTGCATCACAACTGTCAAATCCAGAAGGCTCATAAAATGGGACAGAGTTATTAAACCAAGTGTACACAAGCACAGGTCTCCATAGTTATTACACACTTTAACCCCAACCCACAATGGATCATTTATATGGAAAGATGCTAGTCTTAAATAATCCTCTATCCTGTCTAGACCAAGCCACACATTTCTACGATTAACACACTCTCAAGTGAAGACACACTGGCAAGACTTTCGCTTTATTAAGTATTCAATAGGACAAAACTATGTAAAAATCTTCAGAATTCTTAGCAGGTGTTGATCTGCATTTTTAAACAGTTAATCCCATAAACAAATTCTGCTTCTACTGCCAGACCTGTAACCTTAGGGGGAAAAAAAAGGCTTAAATATCTTTCAGCCACCTTTCCTTGGGAGGTGGCAGTCCCTCGATGCAAGATGGAGCAGCCTTGGGGACAATAAAATTTGAAGCATGTCTTCCAATTCCCACCATTACCACTGGACAGGACGAATTCCTCAGATTACAGTGAAACTGTAATCTTCAGGTTTCCAGCAGAGGGCAATAAGGATGATTAGGGTACTGGAACATCTCTCTAAGGAGGAAAGGCTGAGGGAGCTGAGCCTGTTCAGCCTTGAGAAGAGACAACTGAGAAGGGACCTCCTTAATGTGCATAAATATCTGAAGGTGTGAAGGGGGGTGCCAAGATAAGGGCAGGCTCTTCTTGGTGGTTCCAAGCAATAGGGGAAGAGGCCGCGGGCAGAAACTGATGCACAGGAAGTTCCACCTGAAAGTGAGGAAGAACTTCTCCACCGTGTAGGTGACCAATCACTGGAGCAGACTGCCCAGAGAGGTTGCGGAGTCTCCTTACTTAAGATATTCCAGAACCATCTGGACGCAATTCTATGCCATGTGCTCTAGGACGACCCTGCCTGAGCAGGGAGGTTGGACCACGAGACCTACTGTGGTCGTTCCCAACCTCACCTATTCTGTGATTCTGTGGACACAGCTCTGAGATGAGATTTTCAACCACCCCAGTCCAGCCCCAGCTACACTTTATAGCTACACCTGCTACGAGCTATCTCGTCCATCTGCGGAGAGAAAAACTAAGAGATAAACATCGATGTACCCTCCCACACCCAGACTTAAAGCAACCCACAATCCTCCATCACAGATGAAAGAGAACGTGTTTTCATGTACTTCTATGGAGGCTGTGACTTCCCAAAGAAACCGAGCGCCAGCCAGGTGCGACTAACGCCCTCAGGGAGCGACCCCTGCAGACCCCCCTCAGCCCGCCCGGCCCCAGGTGCCGCCGATCCGGCTCCGGGGTGCTCATCCTCACCACCGCTCCCCCGGCCCCGGCGCCGCGGAAACGCGGCAGCACAGAGCGCACCCCTCCCCCAGGTGGGATGGTTCACCCCGCCCGCCTCGGTGCGCTGAGCGCCGCAGCGCATCCCCCGTGGGCCGAACCATCCCGGCTGGAGTGGAGAGGGGTGGGAGCTGGCCGGCCAATCTTGGCGCTCACGCCCCCTCCCCACGCCCCGCAGCCAGCCGCCATCCCGCCGCCCCTCAGCCGCTCCGGCCGCCGCCGGTCCGCACAGCCCAGCCTCGCCTCACCCAGCTCGTCCCTGCCCGCGCCGGCCATCGCCTCGCCGGGCTCCGCTCGCCCTTCCGCCGATGTGGAGCCGACCGGCGCGGCGCATGCGCCTCGTGGGAGCGAACCAAAGAGAGCAGCGGGCAGGCGGGGCCTGCCGGGGGCTAAGGAGGCGGTGCCAGGAGGTGCCGGCTCCCGGTGCGGGTTGTGTCTGTTCTCGGTGCCCTGATCCCGCAGTAGCCCCGCGACTCGGTGTCCACTTCAGCACGTGCCCATAGAAATACAGAGTGTCTCAGTTTGGAAGGGACCCATAAGGATCATCAAGTGCAACTCCCTGCTCCATGCGGGACCACCTAAAACTAACCCGTATGACTAAGAGCACTGTCCAGACACTTCTTGAACTCTGATATTATCAGCATCGTTAGTTAGCATTGCTCCTTGGCTCTGCTGCAGCCCCAGGTGTGATAGCCCCATAAAACGCTGGCCACATCTGCCGCCCTCGGCAGGACTGGGGAGAGCAGCTTTGCATGGGGCACTGCAAGCACAGAGCCATAATTAATCAGCAGAGACTAAAATCGGGTGGGAACAAAGAGTGGAGCAGAACTCGACAGCTCAGCTTGCCTATGATTTGCAGTTTGACCTCCTGAAGGTCAATCACCTTCAAAAGTTAAAATTATTTTCCCTTTGCGAAACAAGAAATGACTCATAGAATCATAGAATGTTAAGGAGTTGAAACAGACCTTAAAGATATCCGTTTCCAACCCCACTGCCATGTGCAGGGACACCTCCCATTAGACTAGGTTGCTCAAGGCCTTATCCAACCTGGCCTTGAACAGGGCACACGAAACCTCCCCGAGCAATGTTTTCCAGTGCCTCATCACCTTCACAGCAAAGAATTTCTCCTGTATATCTAACCTAAATTTCCCCTCTTTCAATTTGTGCCCATTACTCCTTGACCTGTCACCACAGTTCCTGACGAAGAGTCCCTCTCCAGCCTCCCTGTAGGCCTCTTTCAGATACTGGAAGGTTGCTATGAGGTCTCCATGCAACCTTCTCTTCTCCAGGATGAACAGCCTCAGCTGTCTCAGCCTTTGCAGGGGCAGTGCTTCAGACACAAAATGAAATTTGTGAGAATCATAGTTAATGATGGATGATATGAAGTGTTATCTCTAACTAATCATTTCATATCAAATTACTCACTCCCTGAAACTGGCGTTCCACTTTTTGTGGATTCCACAGCAATACTGCATCTCCTCTGCACACTCTTGTAGATAAGAATATTTCTTAACAGCTTCACCAATAAGCAAAATAAACATCAAGGAAACGCAGATAGTGAAACAATTCAAAACACTGTGGATTTAGAAATCCTTTTCTCATAATTAAGTGTTTCTATCCATAATAAAAGAAAGCAGTATTTCTTGTAATTTCTTAGATTATTTTTTTTAATCTTTGGAAATCAAATATATCAAGATGCTAAAAGAGATTTCAATCATAGTCTGTAATAAAAGCTACAATCAGAGCTTCAGGTCACTGCAGTGATACTCGGAATTCTTACTCTCTAAACCTTTCCTCTGAAATTAAACATTTTAGACTTGTAAAACAAAAGCTTGTACAATTCCATAAGCTTTTATTTCATGGTTTGAGGACGCTAAAGCAGGGCTGTTGGAAGGGGGGATGATGTCCTATCTTAATGAAAGACACAGTGCTCTGAAGGATTTTTAACTGAAGATATACTGTCTAGCCTAAAAGGATCACCTTTTGATAGAACCTTCTCCTAGCAGGCTTAGTCTATTGTGATTTCCAAATATCTGGAGGCTGAACTTCCACTAACCTGACACCCATCCTTTAATGTATCTTTCATGCTAGTTCCTCCCAGAATAGCGTATCAGTATTTCTGCATCAAAACTATCAATATTCTGCCCATATATATGATTGATTTGACTTAAGTAATAAAGTTTCCCACTGCTGGTTTCCTAAAACAGAACTTTTCTTTTTTGCAATAAGAACGTATGATAAAATTTTTTTCTACACAAGAGAAATGCAAGAATCATCTGAAACTTTTCAGAAACTTCAGTCATCTTTAAACAAACATCATTAATTAGTTTATCTACAGTGAAGAAATTCCAATGTGGAAAACATTAATTTTCAATTGTCCAATTCATGTTTATTCTGGATACAATACTCCTCCAGACTTTCATTAAAAAAATGAGCCATGTGAGTGAGCTATTATGTGGTTTCCTCAAATTTATTTTGGAAAAGGCTTCTCAGTAGGCAATCTGTTAGTGCAGGTTATTGATTTAAGGAACTGATTCACTAATTACAATGCTTGTGTCAAGCCTTTATGCAGTGTGTATGTATTTTCTTTGTATTCGTGCATATTGTGTATTCTACATTGTTTCTAGCAATGCCAAACTTCGTTCGGGAAAATATATAAGAACACTAGTGTATGTTCAAAATTTGTATTCAGTTAACAGTGTTCATTCCTTCCACCTTGTCATTGCATCTCAGGATAGACATAGACATTGAAGAGACATTAAGGATGTGATACATCTTTATTTCACATCCTACTCAATGGAAAACTACTTGTTTCTACTACTTGCCATTATTAGCATCAAAATTCCTTCCTCCAGGAGAAGGTTTATTATGTGTTTAAACATATTTTTCTAATATGCTCCAAAAATTATATCTAGTATGTGACTAACCAGTGGTGATCAATTAATATTCAAAAAACATAGGAGATTCTATAATGTGATAGAGATTAATGATTTTGTAATATACATTTTGTTCTCCTTTGGTAAGAATAGAAGGATTTGCTTTACTGCAAACATCTGGTTAAATTCTAGACACCCATCCATCAATGCAAAATTACTTCGTGATATGAATATTGCAGACACCAAATGCCTATTTGCCCTAGGCTTCATATTCTGAATAGCATATACAGCTTGCCTCTTAGAAATCATGGATTCAACTCATGTTGTTTCTGTTGATTCAGAACAAGGCCAGATGGAGCAAAATACATAGCTTCTTCCATTTTAAATCTTTTTTAATTAAAAGCTAACCCTGAAATCTTTAAGGGCCATTTTTGGAATTTTTTTTTTTTCTACCTAAACCCCCCTTATTAGAATAGATGCTCTGCTAGATCTATTTCCACACTGTTTTGGGGAAAAAAAACAATAACAGAGTAAATTTACAGAATTACTGTTTCAATATACAATTCCTCCATACAAATGCCAGCTAGCTTTAGTTTGGGGGCTGCTCACATCTTGAGGAACTTTTCTTCCATTTCTTCATGGAATCTTTTTTTTTTTTTCGCAATGCTTTATATTTGGCTTCCAGAACATCCAGTGGCAGCGAGTCCCACACTTTAATTATGCATTGTACAAAAAAAAAATTGTGCCATTTGAGCATTCTACCTGATATTCATCTGATAACCTCTAGTTTTGTAACATAAAAATAATTATTCCATTTATCTTCTCTAAGTCATTCTTGCCAGATCACTGTCATACTCTCTCTCCTATGTCTTTCACAGGCTGAAGAGTCCTAGTCTATTTAATCTCCCCTCACAGGGATGTCATTTCCTGCTTTTCATAATTTCTCTCCCCTTCCTCTGCAATTTCTAGATCTCCTATGTTCAGTTGCATATAAGGGCAATATAAGGGCACCAGACCTGCAGCCATACAAAGCCACTAAAAACCCTTCTGCCTGCATCTGAGTGTTTTTCACTCTTCCTTTTTATAACAGTTTGTATTTTAACTTTTACTCAGGTACTACTTTGCATAGTGTTTTAATGAGCCATTGGTAGGCCTCAATTATGTTGCCATCCATCTGCCTGTAGACTATAATTCTGTCTGACTGGCAAATTATTGGCATTCCTCTAAGATTTATACCACTAATTTATTTCTAAGAGCACATTTTGAAATCACCTTGAATATGAATATGGCATCCACATTTCATTAGATCCTGGATAGCATATTGCTCATCTAGGTATTAAAAAGCAATACCTCCTGTTAATTCATCACTCAACATCATGGGATCAAACTGAAAGGGGGAATATTTAGGTTAGATATACTGTGAGAGCGGTGAGGCACTGGAACATGTTGCCCAGTGAAGCTACGGATGCCCAGTCCCTGGCAGTGTTCAAGGCCAGGTTGGATAAGACTCTCAGCAATGTGGTTCAGAGTGACTTCCCTGCCCATGGCAGTGAGATTGGAACAAAATGATCTTTAAGGCTCCTTCCAACCCAAACCATTCTGTGATTCCATGATTCTGTGATGTAAAACATGTATATATCTTTTTACCTCTTTAGAATTCCTTGGTCACAAGCATGAACTTTCACACTAATTCCTCATGATCAATATGCTGCTCTGTATTAGCCCATTTTCAAGGGTTCTTATTTTCCTTCTTTTCTTGGTACAAATATCAAGCACTGAACATTTTACACTGTGGTGAAAAAGTCAGCAGCTTTAAAAAAATGCAGTTGATAAACCAGGAGACTTACGGTTTTAGAAGAACTTGTTTGATGCGTACTGAATAGGGGACTGTTTTGTAACATCTTTTTGATACAAAGCTTCATGCCATGCCTGCCTTTCTTTGCCATGAAAACATTTTTGGAAGGAGGTCCAGAGGTTGACTTCCATTCCATTTCTTAGAATCACAGAACAGTTAAGCTTGGAAGGGGCCTTTGAAGATGATCTGGTCCAATCCCCCTGGTCAAGCATGG